TGCCGGAATTAAATAGAGTACGCACAATGTCGAAAATCGAGTTCTTTTGAATTGAAAATCGAGTTTTTTTGAATTGAAAATCGAGTTTGATCATCGACCAACTTAAAGACAAGAATCTTTTAGTATAGCAAGTACATACAAGAGAATAGGCGCAGTGATAGTTAGGAAACCTGTACGTAACTGAATTTTTCTTTTTTTCGAATTTTTTTTTTTTTCTTTATTTTATTTTATTTTATTTTTTTAGGAGTAAAAAATTAATTTTTACGACATTAATGCCAAGTATATATTTTAATAAACAGAGTAAGATGTTTTTCAAATGTGTGACATTCAAAAAAAAAGCTTTTTTTTTGTTGCCTAATTTATAAATTTAACAAATATTTATCTAAATTATTCGCCTTGTGACACTTGAAAACCTTAAATTATTTATGACATGCACATTGTACCCGACACGTCAAAAGGATTGTTTTGGGATATATATGCGCAGCCACGTAAAATAGATTTTTTTCCGTTTTTATATTTTTGATAAAAAATACTGATTAGATACAAATATCATTTTTAAGATTATTCTTTTTTTTTTTCCTCGTCGATAAGATAATCCGATGTTAAAAGATAAATCCAAGAATGATTCAAGACTCTAAAAAAAAAAAAAAAAAAACCGTTAATGTAAAGCCACCGCGTAGAGTTGATCAACAAAAAAAAAACAATAATAATAAATCAAAAATCAAATAACAAATGTATATAAATTAGTTTATATAAAGGCTTGGCTGAAGGCTGGGAATATGTGTTTAGATGATTGTAAGTGACAAAAAAAGATAATTGTTGATTTGTTGTTTAACATTAAAAAAAAGTCAGAGTAAAATAAAAAGTAAGAAGGCTTTGTTCGTGCAACAAAAGGTAAAATTTTTTTTTATTGTTTTTTAAACAAAAGAGCGAGAATGTTGAGCTTGGCTTAATGTTTGCACTTTTAGCCTGGTAAAAGTACACGATCTTGGCGACTGTCAACACATGGAACGTGGATTTGCGGTTGAGTCAAATAAGGAAATATCATCAAGATTTAATTATTAAACCCTTTTCTGGAAAACTTTGTATACAAACCCAGGGTATCATAATGATAAAAGACTGGTCCGAGCCATAGGGAATGCAGCCACTAATTCAACCTAATTCAAAAGATGTCCAAAAAAGAACCGTTATAATGGTATATATAAAGTTATACAGTAGAAGTATAGAGTTTTCAACTTTATTAGGAATTACTAAAAGATAAATATTGTAGAAAGATGAATTTTTAAAAAGATTATCATAATTCAACAGAAACACACTTAATATATCTTTATAAACATAATAAATTCCAATGTTTTTTAAGATAAATATTTTTTAAAACAAATCTATTGTCATGATACTTTATAACATTTTTGATTCATAAAACGCGTAATTGATTTTCTTAATTAATAATTAGCATGTTTAACATGTTTAAGCCAATCATCAAAACCAAAATTTTGGTCACATTCTTACTTTTGGACAGACAATTCGATCCGGTAGTTGTCTAGTCTCGACGGGATCATTAAAATCTTTACTTATTCTTGATCACAAACAAAGCCCAGTGGGCTTTTTAGACAATATTTCATGGCTGTGTGATGTGGGAATTAGTCGATCTAAAATTCGAAGCAAGGGTCTACCTACCACGAGCCTATCCATGTTCAAGATGTGGCAAAGTGTTGAGCATTTAAAAATTTAATTGGACGCGTTGAAAAGATAAGCCTACTCATGATATATTTACAAATGACAAATTCAGTTAAAAACAGATTCGAAATAATTTATTTCTCAGCCATGTTAATTCATAATTCGAAAAGAAAAAAAAAAAAAAAAAAAATGTGAAAGAGAAAATCAGTCCACCAACAAAGCCTTGACAACTCACCGATTATTCATTATCCTATCTCGTGTTACTTTATATTCCAAGCCTCTATTCATCATTTAAACATTTTTTTTTCGCGTTTCAAATAATCTTTTGTCTACAAAAGGCGATAAAATAAGGATGTTTCCGTGTATCACTCAAAAATTTCGTATCGATAAAACAAAATAATAATAATAATAATAATAAACATCAACTTGACCCACCCTCACATATCTGAAAGCTACCAAAAACGAAAAATCATGCCATGTTTCTCTCATGACACGCATATCATTTTCACAGATGTGATATTTATATATATCTATTTTTTTTTGGTAAGAGTCCTGTATTACAAATGTATAATGTTCATGTATCGAACACGATTTCTAGAATTTTAACTAAGAAATAAAAAAATTTTTGGTCACAGCCCAAACCACAGATGTTCGAACATCTGATAATAAATAATAATAATAATAATGATATTATTATTTCCCATATTTATTTTAGAACATCTGACAAAATATTTAAAAGCCAAGAATTCCCATTGTTGATCCCGTTCCTTAACTTTTATCAAAATTAAATATTATAAAAAAAAAATAAAAAAAATGTTAACATAACTCTCATTAAACAAAATTGTATTAAAAAAAAAAATCATCAATTTTTTTTCTTAAAGTCATCTTGTTAGCACATCATGGATTTATTCAATACCGCCGACGACAAAATCCTAAATATACTGACGTACCAGTACTCTCTCACTAACTGTGATCAGATCAAGATAATTGCTCGCTAACAAGATGCCGCACATTTGTCGCAAATTGCAGGTTTTCCGAATATATAGAGTCTTGCACTTATTTTATATTTGGTTTATATATTCCTGCATTTAACAAGCAATCATTCGCGTAATGGTTGTTACATCGCATTGGTGTTTCTTGTAAATATTACAAAGATTACGCCGGAACTAGGGTCGCGACCCAAACTTTTTTTTTTTCTTTGAATTGACATTACCGCATAAAGTCAACCCTCTATAATCACTTAGTTGGGAATAATCACTTAGTTGGGAGTATAGAAACTTTTTTTAAAAATTTGCTTATAAAGAGATTGTGCTTATATAGAGGTTTTTTCTATATATTTAAAGTGTTTAAATAGAGATGTGATTATATAAGGTGACTATATAGAGGTCTGACTGTAGTTTGGGTTTAGCGACTAGACAAGGATATGTTGGAAACTCGTTTTTTTTTAGAGTGAAATTTCCGCAAGTTGGTTGTTATAAAATTTTATCCTAGTAGTATATTAGTATATTGCTATATACTTTATATATATATTACATATATAGTTTTTTCGTTGTTATATTAACCATAGCTATTTTTTTTAAATCGCTATTTAGCGCAATTTTTTTTTTATATAAAGTTATGGTATATTATAACGGAATTTAAAAATTTTTTTGTGCAAACCATTTCCATTTTTTTTTCCAATTTAAATATCTACGTATTACAGGTTTGAATAATATCGGTAAGTCTTAATTGGAAATAAATTTATTAAACCACTAATTCGGAGTTAAAGATATCGAAATTACAAAAGGATATTTTTCTATATTGTTTACGCATACATGCTAAATGCTAAGTTTCTTATGTAAATTTGGCAATATATAATTATAATAGCAGATAAATCGGAACTGGTACGTACGTACGTAACTCTCTCGCGTTGGTAAGTTGAACTTGTAGTTTCTTAGTTTCTGTAGTTTCTTAGTTTCTTGGTTCCTGTAGTTTCACGAGTATTCAACACTTAATATGCAAGTACGTACGTACGTACGTACCTACATACTTACATTTGGTTCAAAATGAAACCGACTGTATTACATCTTGCCGACTTTTTCGGAGGTGCACGTATGTTTATGTACGCACATACATGCCTATATAAGATGTTTCGTACACCTATCCAAAACTTGTCTTTGCATAGCTTATAAAAAGAAATTTTCGGTTTGAGAGCATTGGCAAAGATAAAAATTACATTCATAAATTCTTCGTTTTTTTCCTGTTAATTGATTTGTTTTTTTTTCTTTTTTCATGTTCTCTTTATTCATTTGTATTACAAACAAACAAATAAAGTAAACCTACAAAAAAAAAAAAAAAAAAAAAACAAATAATAAATGAGATTTCTGAGAAATACTGGTCATATCTTGTTAATTGTCATATGTATTTATTGTCTCAATGGTGGAACCTGCGTTACCGAGAATAAAAATGCTGCGCCTCTGCTAGAAAAACGTCCCTTAGACATTGACCGTACTGGCGTACCCAAACAAATATTTGTTGGAAGTTTTTTTGGAGGTAAAAATATCTCAATTCATTCGTTCAATTATCATTCACTTAATTCACTTAATTCACTTGAAATTTCGATAAATAGAATGGAATCAAATTCGTCCAATGTTAGAAATTTGTAAAATATTAGTTGAACGTGGATACAATGTAAGCTCAACAATCCATTTTTCTTTCATTTATTTCTTTCATTTATTTCATTCATTTTTTTCCTTTCATTTTACTTCAAATCCCTTATCTCTTTTAACTCTTTTATCTTATAAAATCAAAGGTAACATTAATAGCTCCCGGTGATTTATTACCATCATCAGAGTATCCAACAATTAAACAAATTTCAACCGGTCCTTCAATAGAATCTGAAGCCACTTATCAAGAATTATATCATAAAACATTCAATCGTAAACAAATTTCTGGCTTGCGTAAATTATTAGTTAAAAAATATTTAGATTATTTTGAAACATATCAACTTGTAATCAAGATGATTAAACCAGATTTATTTTTTTGTAACGTTTTTATGATGAATGATATTTGTTTGGATATTGCTTGGTCATTGAAAAAACCTATCGTAGGTTTTAGCTCTCTAATGTTAGGTATATAGTGTACTTTAAAAAAAATTTATATAATTTTGATTAAATATTATCGTTATATATTTTAATTACTAACTTGTTTGCATACGTATAGGAACGCCATTTATACCTTATAAATCAGAAGTTTGGTATAACTGTCCTGTTAATATGGAAAATGAGTCGTTCATTAACAGGTTTAGGTGTGCGATTATCGAACCTATCAGATCAACTACTGAAATGTTATCATCTATTGAAGAATTAAATGGGTTAAGGTCTACTGTTGGAATTAAACCTGTTCATAATCCTTTTGAAAGAATAAAAAATTCTCTATTCTTGGTTAACACTTTTTTTGGACTTGAGGTGAGAATTTTTAAATTTTCTAAAAAATTTTATATAATGAATTATTCATGTCAATATATTTTTTTTTTTGTTACATACTGTAGGTACCACACCCTCTGCCGCCTCTTGTTCAGGTAAACCTCAATTTTATTATTTATTATTTTATTATTTTTATTATTTTATTAATTTTTTTTTTAAGAAAAAAATATTAATAAATATTAATTTAGGAAATTGGTCCTGTAATGCAAGATAAATATCCATTAATCATTCCAAAACTTTCTTCTTTCATATCTTCCCATTCTCGAATCTTATACATTTCATTCAATCCAAATACTTTTATTCGTCCTGAAACAAATTTAATCCTTCTTCATTCTATAATAGAATCAATTCAAAATGATTTAATTGATGGTGTAATCTGGAATTTACCATCTTTATCATTTAATGAAGATTCAATTTCTTCTACAAAAATAACTTTTTCTAATGGAAAAACTTTTTCAGTTACTGAACTTTTATCAAACAAATACCCTAATTTACTTTTTACAAATTCAAATTCTCAATTTTCAGTTTTAAATCAAACTAACGTAAAATTATTTTTAACAACTGGTGATATTACAAATTCTTATGAATCTTTATATACAGGAACTCCAATGTTAATCTTTCCTGTTTCTTTTGATCAATTAAGTAATTCGGAAAAATTAATTGGTTTAGGTGTTGCTTTAAAACTTCCAATTTATTTTTCTACTATTCATTTTATTGAAAAAATTGAAAAAATTTTAAATGATGAAATTATACAAAAAAATTTAAAAAAATTTAAATTATTAGTAAGAATTAATAGTAAAAGAAAATATAGAGCTGCTGATTTAATTGAATTTGTTTTACATGCTTCAACTTTAAATCCTTCTGATAGTATTGATAATGATGAAGAAACAAATGAAATGTTTGGTGATTATGATGGTTTATTAAAAGAATGGATTACTCCTGATGCTAGAATGGGGTTTTTTAAAGGTTTATATTTAGATATTTATGGTAGTTTGATTCTTGTAATTTTAGCTATTTTGGCTTTTTTTTTACGTTCTATCTGGAAATTTTTAAATTATTTGAAAGGTTCGAAAGTGGCAAAACACAAACAGGAATAATATATATTATTATATATATTATATCCATTTTTTACACATAATAATAAATAAACAAATGTCGAGTTTTATTTATTTTATATAATAATCTTTTTTTAGTAATAATCTTTAACAAACTTATCACTGCATTTACTTAATCAAAATTTGATAAATTTTTATAATAACTGTGAAAACTGATAAATTTTTCTCGTCGATAATTAAGTACACTGTATTTCGATCGAAATTATTCTCCCAATTTCTAATAATTTTTAAACCAACTTTATTTTCGCTCTTTGTTTCTTATTGACAACGAGATGACAACTAGATGTTGTTCGTTTAGAATACAATGGGTGATTTTTGAATTTTATGAGACAGCGTACTTACATACTATCTCCTAAAATTCTGCAAAGCGTAATATAGATACACTTGGTTTCCATCAGAATTTGAGAGGTGTAGGGTGGGAATTTTGATTGATTATAAATTATATAATTTTGATTGATTATAAATTATATAATTTTGATTCATTACATATTTACACGTAATTTGTGAACTTTGTAACGTACGTATGTACTTTAATAACTATTTACATTAATCGAATGGATGAACGTTTATTCGCTATCCACGTATTTTGTGCAGGTAATGCTACAAGATGATTAAGCCAGCCGTATAGCCAGCCGCTTAGCTTTTTGGTTGGCTGATAGTTTTATTAGCCGGCTAATTATACGTAATACGTAATCACCAAATTTGTCAAATATGAAATTATGTACTGTACGTACGTACGTACGTATCAAGAAGATAATAATAAATTTATAGGTATTCAGTAAAGTAGTACTGTACGGCAGTATAGATTCAGACGGACATACAAAAATTATACTAAATTTTGATCGTACGTACGGTTAATATATTAGACATTACTTTCAAATTTCCGTCAATTAATAATTGACATACGTCAAATCTAAAGTATGTTTAATAAAAGAAATTTTTAAAAAAAATTTATTATTTTCTTTGCAAAATGGCTTCAAATGCTTTATTAGTCATTCATTTTTTTCGTTTCAACCTTTGAAAAAATTGTTGACAGCTATGTAAATGGTTAAATGGCCGAAAAAAATGAAAGTATAATTGATTATTCAAAATATGATCGGTTTTAAAACCAAGCTTCTTACTGTAATACTTTTAAATTAGTTAAAATTAGAGTTATTGAAGAATTGAATATTCATATAGATAAACATAACTGTGGTTATCCCATTGAAGATTTTATGAAGCACGGTACCTCACAAAACTCAACTAATAAGACTCTTCGAAATATCAAAAAATAATGGAAATCACTGTAATATGAAATAAAACCCT